TTGAAGCCATAAATGGAATCTGTTTACAAGATTTTTATTTCACAAGTGACTAAGCACTTGCAAATAAGCCACTCATTTGAAACCAGCTCAGTTTGTATTCAAACCGATTCACATTCTTGCATTTTATTTTAAACAAAGTTCTTTCAGTTCAACTCAAATATTTATTGAGTGCCTGGTATGTATAAGGCAATATTTTACCTGCTCAAGGGGCAGACCCTGGCTTCCAGGAACTCATAATCTACTTGGAGAGACAATACAGTCACAAATAACGAATGTGGAACAGTGGTCTAGAGCATATATTCTCAATAGAGGTGACATTACCACAAGAGGGTGAAAACTGGTTATGGGGGAGGTGAAAAAATCTTAGATATTACAAAGGTTTGTGGCTCTCCAAAAGGTCACAGTACATAGACAGATACATGGCATATCTTTGTTATTAAAATTTAATGGGGCAAGGGGAAGGAATTCGGGAGAAAATGTATAAAAAGTTTCCTTGGGGAAGCAATAATGAAAAAAGTTGAGTGTAAGGCAGGTGAATATGGTAGAGGACATTAGTGAAAGAGGAGAAGAAGTCTGTGGAGGCTGAGAAGTCTGAGGTGCAGGCACCGTTAAGAAAGAATAGAGCTTCCAAAAGTAGTTTTAGAGAGAATATTTCTGGTGGCAGATAGGGCTAACCAGGAACAATAAATAGGTGTCATCTCACACAGCAGCACTGGTCTGTGGGTAGTGGCTGCCTAAACACCATAAAAACAAGGATTCTAAAACCAGGATCAGCAGAAAAGAATGTGATCAGTTAATGATGTCTGCTATGAGCACAGAAGATGTAAAGTGGAAGTATGAATACCACAAAGTATCTCCTCTTTCTGGCAACCATAAGCACATAGCAGAGTCAGCAAAGTGCAGGATATATTCAAGGAAAAGTAGGTACAGGTGAATGAATTCTTAAAGACCTCTCCTAATTTAAAACTCATAGGTCTAACAAAAAAGAAACAGACTCACACAGATACAGAGAACTAGTGGATACCAGTAAGGAGAGGGGACGGCGAGGGGGAAGGGGAGGGGGAGGGGCAAGATAGAGGTAGGGGATTAAGAGGTACAACTACGACGTATAAAATAAATAAGTTGCAAGGATATATTGTACAGCACAAGGAATATAGCCAAGTTATTTTATAATAACTATAAATGGAGGATAGCCTTTAAAAATTGTGAATCACTATGTTGTACACCTGAAACTTATATAATATTGTACATCAACTATACCTCAATTTAAAAAAAAGTAGAATTCAATACAGATTTTACCAAAACAATAAATGTAAAAGGGGAGGGAGAATTTTTATCATGTATAAATCCACAACCATTCTCCTACATATCAGCATTACATATACTCTTAAAACAATTTTGTTAATAAAACACACATATAGAAAGTGCATAAAACACAAATGTGCATAATTATAATTCTACAAACACTTGTGTAATTACCACCGGGCAAGACAGAGAACATTGCTGGCACCCTAGAAGTACCCCATGTGTTTCCCTATCACACCCACTCCCTTCACGCAGAGGCAATATTACCCCAACGTTTAAGATAATCACTTCCTTATCTTGCCTAATAGTCTTACCACTCACCTTTGAATCCCTAACAGTACGATTGAGTTTTGCCTGTTTTGAATTTTTAAAAATGGAATTATATATATTCTTCCACATGTTGCCTCTTTCACTTAACATTGTAAGATTACAAACAACTATGTATAAAATAAGCAACAAGGATATATTGTGCAGCACAGGGAAATACAGCCACTGTTTTGTAGTAACTTTAAATGGAGTACAACCTATAAAAATATTGAATTGCTATGTTGTACACCTGAAACTAACATAATATTGTCATATAATCAACTATACTTCAATAAATAAAATAATAAAATTTTAAAAATTCAATTAAAAAGAAAAGCATTGTAAGATTTATCCATGTTGTGTGTAGGTATGAGTTTCTCAAGGGTGTAGACCAGGAAGTGGAATTGCTGGCTCACAGGGCACTTCTTTAGCTTTATTAGATATAAATGCCAGACTCTTTCCAAGTTGAATATTGCAGCTTACTCTCCCACCAGCAGGATGTGAAAGTTCCCATTGCTCCAACAAAAAATTGGTCATACTTTAAAATTTTGTCATTCTGGTAACTGTATAGATAGTATGATCTCAGGGTGGTTTTAGTTTGTATTTACCAAATTGCTACTAAAATTGAGCGCATTTTCATATGTCTATTGACCACTGAGATTTTTCTTTTGTCAAGTACCTGTTTAAGTCTTTTGCCCACATTTAAAATTGTACTTATAGGAGTTTTTAAATAGATGTTGGATGAGACTTAATTTATTTGCTACGTGTGTTGCAATGATCTCTGATTCTGTGGCTTGTCTTTTTACTCTTTGTGATGTCTTTCGATTAGCAGAAGTTTATAATTTTAAAATATGCAAATATATCAATTTTTACCCTTTTTGGTTTATTGTTTAAGAAATCTCTCCCTTCACTGAAGCAATGGGGGGAGGCAAGGAGTGAATTGTTTTTAAATTTGGGCATAACATGGGACATTTTAATTTTTTTAATTAACATAAAATTCTGTAAGCTAGAGTTGTTATAGGCTGATGTGCCTGAGTAATACGTTTTGTGAGGAGGAGAAGGAAGAGCTAAATCTTAAAAGATTCATACTGAGTGTCAATGAGCTTCGCAGAGGTAAAAAGACCTAGGAAGCCTTTTGTCTTCTCTATTCTTGTGTCCCCTTTCCCTTGACTATTTTCTCTGGAAGATATTCTTAATTCTGAGATATTTTCCTCCCACTTAACCCACCCCACATTTCATTAAATGAATGGAGGAACTGGAGGGAAATCCCATTTGCTGTGCTCCTTCCAGTGACAGGCACGGTAGAGGCTCTTCATACACACTGACTTATTTAACCATCACAAAGGCCCTGATAGGAAATGGAAGAGAATTTTGAAACTTTGCCAAAGTCACCAGCTATGAGGTGGTATCGTCGGCTATTGTAGTGTCAACTGGAAAAAAAAAAAACCCAACATGAAATGAGAGCTGTGAGTTTCAGTTTTATTTGGGGACTTACTAAGGACTCTAGCCCAGGATACAGTCTCTCAAAGAGCTCTGAGGAACTGCTCCCAAGAGGTGAGGCGGGCAGGTCAGTATATATTTGTTGTTTTGGAGAAGGGTCACGTGCAATCAGACACACATCAGGTAGAAGGTTAGTCATGAGGAACAGGTATCTCAGTTAATGACGTTAGATCTTTTCTAAGTATGGGAAGATGTAAGAATTCAGGTTCATAAAAAAATTTCTCCTGAAATATTTCTAGCTATGGAAGGGCTTGTTTTTCCAGAGCACCGAGTGCCTTCACCGGAATTCCTTTCACGGTGAATTGTAGGTTAGTGGCTGCAGTGGCTAATGACTTGATTCTTGTAGAACTGGGTGGTGGGCAACATTCTTTGTTTTACAGTAGAGTTGAGGCTTGAACCCAGGGCTCATCTGGTTCCAAAGCCACTGCCCTTTCGAGTATCCTCCCAGCCTCCCAAATAAACCAGCCTGTTCTGTACACCGCTAGTCCCTACCTGTGTCATAACTGATGTCTCCTGATGATTCAAGTTGTTCCCAAAAGTTAGGATATATTTCATAACAAGTCTTTTCTTCTAATCAGAGATTGAGTCAAACTAAAATAAGATTAGACTAGAAGCAGTCTTTTAAAAATAAAGATAAAAAAGAAGCAGTCTCTCATTACCACTTTGTGGGAAGATTTGCGGTTTCTCAAAATTCAATAGTATCAGTGAGTTTGGGGTTTTCAAATGGTGTGGGGTTGACCACTAGGGCAAGAGTTTCAATGTTGCATTTGTTTTCCAGAAAAGGAGCTCAGCATAAAATGCAGCTAATAGTGAGGTTTTGTTTGGGTTTTTTGCATAATAAAAGTCGTAACTGAGCAACATTAACTACAGACACTCCTCCCCATAAAATCCATGGAGACTCTGTGAAAAGCATTTCAGAGAAATCCAAACCCCAAGTAGTCTTTGGCAAGGGGTAATTTGCCATGATGGTAGTTAAATAAGGAGAATATTGAGTAGCTGACTACAAAGAAGCATCTGAAAATGAAAATAGCTGTGGCTGAAGTCCCTCAATGGAAAGTGTATATAAAATTTCTCACACGTGGCAGCCCACACTGGTCTCTTCTTTTTATGAGACAAATTTGACAGTGCATACCAAGGAGCTTAAATCATACCCTTTTGGCCTCATAATCCCACTCCTGAGAATTTATCTCAAGGAAATAAGTCATAAAGAATAAGGAAGACTGTACATATTTTTATAACAGCATTATTTATAATTAGCAGAAAACTGGAAACAGCCTAATTTTACAATAATAAAGGAAAGGCTTAGTACATTTTGGTATCTTAATTCTTTGGGATATCATGCAGCTATTAAGAATATCATCCTACTGTACAAACAAGAAAAAGGATAAGCATAGAATACAGAATGCAAATACGCAGAAGTTATAGACATGCAGAAATACGCATGTTGATAAAAGAGTAGGAGGTGACACAAAGAGATGAAACTAAGTATGTTAGCACAGTGAGATGACAAGTTTTAAACGTTAAAATTTTCTTTTGTGGGGCTTCCCTGGTGGCGCAGTGGTTGGGAGTCCGCCTGCCGATGCAGGGGGCGCTGAGCCTGCGCGTCCGGAGCCTGTGCTCCGCAACGGGAGAGGCCACAACAGTGAGAGGCCCGCGTGCTGAAAAAAAAAAAAAAAAAAAAAAATTTCTTTTGTAACGACCATATTTAGTTTTTAGGGATTTTTTTCCCCTGTCTTATCTGCTGCAACTTATATAGAATCATATTTCCTAGTTATTGTTGGATCAGAAGATTATTCTACAAAGGACACATGGGGAACATTCTAGCCAAGTGTGAAATATAGAGAGAATTACTAATTTACAAATACTAATGCTATTGTTTTAATTTGCAGTGAAGGGAATTTGGCTACAAAGCAGGTTGTGTTCCTTCAGAGACCAGTTATGTGGAATTCAGCCACTCAAACACCGGAAGTGAGTAAAATTGATGCTTTATGAACTAAATGTTACACTGAAGCATTTAAACCTTAAACTCTCTTTGTAATTCTAAATGGTGAACAGATGAGGAAGTGTGGAGTTGATAAGGAAACAGTCTTCTGAACCAGCATACAACAAGGGAAATGTGCCAGCAAACAGGCATGTGAGACAGTTCTGAAGGGGATCAGAATATTACTCTAAAATATGCCACTTGGGCATAAGGGTTACTAATTTGAGCTAAAGGCAATTAAAAAACAGCAGACACAGGAGGACCTCTCTACCCTCTCCCTTTCTGACAAAAGCAGAGCATAAATTTCCCTTTTAAAAGGTGACAGAAATTTCCATTTGTAAAGTTGCCCCCCTCTCCTGTACCAGAAATGACTCTTATCACTGGAAACAACACAGACTGTAGTCCCCACAATCACCTTACTAAAGCCTTCTTTTCCCTTAGTTTCCCCAAATACTTGCCTTCCCACAATCTACTGTCCCTAGAAGCCCAAACCCCTTTTCCTTTGTCTAGTCACTTCACCACAATTTATCACCCCTTGTAAAATGATATATAATCTCCCGGTCTAACTGCCTGTTTGGGTTTTCACTTCTCTGTGCAGCCCCCATGTGCATCCAAAACAAACCTTTCTCCTATTAATCTTTTTTTTTAGTTTAATTTGCTGGTCTGAGAGACTGAACATAAGATGATAGAGGAAAAGTTTTTTCCTCTCCACAGTTATAAGCCTTATAAGTGGATGTGCGTGATATCTGTGTGATCTTGTCTATCTTGACTTCTGAGAGCACTTTTGTATTGTCTCCTCAAGGTCATAATTTTTCAGCCCTTTGCTGAAGGGCTATACTGAGCCTCAAGTCACCTTATCCTTAATAGACCCCTACCAGATTCACACCTAGAATAGTATCATTGAATGAAGCAATCTGTGCATTAATTAATTAAAGCATAACCTTCAAAACAGGAAGTTGCAAATAGACCAGAAAATTATTTGAAGTGATTCTTTTTCTGTATATCAAGAAAATATTGTTTTAGAAAACTTTAAAGTTTTCTAAACTAGCAAAGCTAGACTGACAGTGTATGTAATGCAGCCATGCTACGTTGTCTCACATTAATTTTGGAAAGACTCTAGCTGGTTCCATAGGTAAGCAGGTAGAGAGGTGGAAAGGTGGATAGGATATTCCTCCCATGGGAGGAGAGCAGAGTGATCAAGTACACAGATTTTAGAAAGACTGAATTAGAGCCCACAGGTGAGCAGGGCCTCCCAACCCCGGTGAGAGTAGCTCAAGTTCACGAGTTCATTAAGAAATATTCGGTTAAGAAGAAGCAAGGTGGATCTATGTAAAGAATGGCCAGAAAAGGTTTTCATTCTTCTTTCTCCTTCCCCAAAGCAACTTCTCACCATGCTACAGCCTTTTCTTTTCTCTTTTTTTTTTTTTTTTAAATATTCTGCAAACAGCCATCATTTTTGAGAAAGATAAACAGAATTCACAGCCTCATGGGATTTTGACTAACTGAGGGCCCTGGAATTGGTGTTTGTGAAGATGTAAGACCCAAATTCAGCTGCTTCATGGTCTCCCTTCTTAGGGTTAGATATCAGTTCTCTGATTCCCTGAAAATATTTGAGCTTTTTTTGTTTAACTTTAAATACCATTCAGTAGTCTAGTGGTAGCTTTTCTTTGGGTAATCTTTATATTTATATCCATTGTAATATAAAATTTCTGGCTCATTTATATAATAGTAAGGAAGTACATAAATGGTCAGTTTTCATCAATGAGAAGCCCAGGAGTAATATATTTTATAGCTTAGAATTCTACTTCTAAAGGGATTTACTATTTCTTCCTTTGATAAATCTTTAATTTTCCTAGCAGGAAATCTCAGGATATTGAGATTATTTCAAGGCAGAACATGTAGGTGGTTCAGTCTGGAGCTGAAGTATGTAATAGCTATAATAGGAAACCAATTTGTAAATTCTTTTAATTTTCTCTAGTGGAAATAATTTGTTATTTTATCTCGAGAAGGTAGTAGACTATCAGTATTGCCATAGAGTTAATTTAGCTATCTCATATATATTTTGTGAAAGTTATACATTTATAACATGTCTTGAAAAAATTTTTATGTAGTTGTAGGTCTGTAATGGCACTATTCTTTGCTTGTACCTTGAAATCAGTTGTTGTTTGGGAGGGGTTGATAAGGGGATTGCTTCATTTATAAAGGTTTTCAAAGAATTATTTCAAAGGTGTTTAGTTCTTTTTTATTTTTTTATTATTTATTTATTTATTTAAAGATTTATTTATTTATTTATTTGGCTGAACCGGCTCTTATGCGGCAGGTGGGCTGCTTAGTTGCTCCTTAGTTGAACTCTTAGTTGCGGCATGTATGCGGGATCCAGTTCCCTGACCAGGGATCGAACCCGGGCCCCCTGCATTGGGAGCGTGGAGTCTTATCCACTGCGCCACCAGGGAAGTCCCTAGTTCTTTTTTAAAAACATAAATTATTTTATTTTATTTTTGGTTGCGTTGGGCACGCAGGCTTTTCTCTGTTTGTGGCGAGTGGGGGCTTCTCTTGTTGCGGAGTACAGGCTCTAGGCATGCAGGTTTCAGTAGTTGTGGCTCATGGGCTCTAGAGCGCAGGCTCAGTAGTTGTGGCGCACGGGCTTAGTTGCTCCGCGGAAGGTGGGATCTTCCTGGGCCAGGGATCGAACCCGTGTCCCCTGCATTGGCAGACAGATGCCTAACCACTGTGCCACCAGGGAAGCCCAAAGGTGTTTCTTCTAAAAACCAGTTGGTGGAAATTTGAGACAATTACAAACATTGCCCTAGGATCGTTAATGAGTTTTCAGTAAAATGATAAATTTCACGGGCTGGTAGAAACTGATCTAGGGTTTAACCCTTGAAAAAAAGAGTTCTCTCTTTTACTGAGATTAATGTCAAGATATATAAGACTTTTTGTAGTCAGTTGCACTCAACATAGAACAGTACTTTTATGTTAAGCAAAGCCATTTCATGCCTCTGTATAGGAGAGGGAATTGAGAATCACATGATGAAGAAAGCATATTGTTGGAATTTTTTCTTCTGAAGTTATAAAGACCTTTACGTTTGGAATTTGTTTATAGTCCACAAATATGTTTTTATACAATATTCTAGATAGCTTGAGACTTTTTTTAAATACGGAAAATATCAATTCAAAATATTTATACTCCTAATTACTGCCTCAATTTTCTTTAAGCTATTGAAAGATAGTTTGTTTTAGGATAGAAAAATTTTAGAAAAAAATTAATAGGAGAAAATCTTCTGAACTGGAGCTAAGCAAAGAGTTCTTAGACATGACACCAAAAGCATAATTCATTTAAAAAAATTGATAAATTAGACCTTATCAAAATTTAAAACTTTTGCTCTGTGAATAACACTAAGAAAATAATAGAAAAGCCACAGACTGGGAGGAAAAAAAAACTTTGCAAATCACGTATATGACAAAGGACTTGTATCCAGAAGGTATCAAGAACTCTCAAAAGTTAAAAAATAAATAAACAACGCAGGTAAAAAATAGTTAAAAGTCTTGGACATCTAACCAATGAGGATATGTAGATGAGAAATAAGCACATAAAAAAACATTTAAATCATTAGTCATTAAGGGAAATGCGAATGAAAACCATGATGAGGCACTACCGTACATCTACTAGAATGACTAAGATTAAAAAATATTGACAACACTAAGAACTAGCAAGGATGAGGAGCAATCAGAACTATCAAACGCTGCTGGTGGGGATGCAAAATGGTGCACCCGCTCTGGAAAAGAGTTTTGCAGCTTCTCATGGGGTTAAACATACACTTACATACAACCACCAATCCCACTCTTGGGCATTGACCCTAGAGAAATAAAAATTTTCGTTCACACAAAAAGCTACACATAAATGTTTATATGTTCTATCCATAATCTCCAAAAACTGGAAAAAATCCAAATGTGTTCAGCAGGTGTATGGACAAATGGCTGTGGTACTTCCATACAATGAAATACTACTCAGAAATAAAAACAAATGCACTCCTCATATGCACAATGGCGTGGATTAATCTCACAAAGCATGCTGATTAAAAGAAGCCAGTCTCAGGGAGTTCCCTGGCGGTCCAGTGGTTAGGTTTTGGCACTTTCACTAACGGGGCCTGGGTTCAATCCCTGGTTGGGGAGCTAAAATCCTGCAAGCTGCATGGCGCAGCCAAAAAAAAAAGCCAGTCTCAAAAGGTTATAGACTGTACTATTCTTTTTCTTTTTTCTTTTTTTTTATTTATTTATTTTTGGCTGCATTGGTCTTTGTTGCTGCATGCGGGCTTTCTCTAGGTGTGGCGAGCAGGGGCTACTCTTCATTGTGGTGCATGGACTTCTCACTGCAGTGGTTTCTCTTGTTGCAGAGCACGGGCTCTAGGAGCTTGGGCTTCAGTAGTTGCAGCACGCGGGTTCAGTAGTTGCAGTGCTTGGGCCCTAGAGCACATGGACTTCAGTAGTTGCGGTGTGTGGGCTCAGTAGTTGTGGCTCGCGGGCTCAGTAGTTGTGGCACATGGCCTTAGTTGCTCCGAGGCATGTGGGATCTTCCAAAACCAGGGATCGAATCCATGTCCCCTGTATTGGCAGGCAGACTCTCAACCACTGCACCACTAGGGAAGTCCCTGTGCTGTTCTATTTATATGACATCCTCAAAAAGACAGAACTGTACTGTGGATAACAGATCATGGCTTGCCAGGGATTTGGGGTTTGGGGAAGGGTGTGATAAAGGGATAGCATGGGGGGTTTTGAGCAGGATAATAGGACTGTTCTGTGTCCTGATTATGATTTGTACACAAATTTATACACATGTATTAAAATTCATAGAACTTTACACTTTTACATATTTACTTTTAAATTTAAAATTTAAAAGATTGTATGCTTTATAATTTTATTTTTTTAATTTAAAAATAAAATAAAAATGTTATGAAAGATTGCATGCTTTATAAATCACATAGGCTAT